CCTCCCCCCACCCCCACCCTCTTTTTTTTTTTTCTTCTTCCCCCTCCTTCCTCCTCACGCGTGGTTCTGGACGTGCTCCATTTCTGGCGCGTCCGATTAAAGCGGCTAGCAAATACGCGGTAATTAAAAATGAAAAATTTTAAGCCGCGGAAGTGGGACACGGTCCGTGCCCTTGGGTATCGCGCTTTTTTTCCTTTCTCCGATGAACGCTATTTCTACTATTTCTTTCGTGAACTTGAATTTTAAAACCAAAGTAAGTGTAAATCTGCGCGGATTCGTCGGTTCTGGGAATTTTGGGATGGATACCGTTTATGCCGAGATCAGAGCACTGCTGCAGTGCCAGCTTTTGTCGTTATAAAACGTGCTGACGCCAAGTTGCTGATCGTTTTGGGGGGTGGGGGGGGATTTCGACATATTGTCTTGTGATATTCTCTCTCCAAAAAGCAAATGGCGAAGTAAGGATCCCAAAATAGATTCACTTTCTTCTCTGGGATTGCCTTTGTCTTGCTTTGTTCTGCCCTGAATCGGCAGCGGGGCTGTTGGTGCAGTGTATCTCTTTGTTAGAAATCGCCACCAGATTTAATTAAGAGTATAAATAACTAGCAGCCCTACTTTTTTTGAGGGGCTAACGTTTAACAATAAATCGAGTAGATCTGGGATGCCTTTGCACTGGGGGTATTTTTGCTGTGTAATTCATGATGTCATTGTCTTAATAAAATGTCTTCGTGTTCGGGAGTACTGCCTTAAATGATGAAATGTGATGTAAGAGCATGCCTATGTGAAGTACTGAGCATTCCACTGTCGCTAGGAGGACTGAATTGGCATAAAATGTCGTCTTTGCTTGATCGAATCTGCTATAAATGCAAACGCAATTAAAAATGTATGGTGCTGCATGTCAAGCATTAATCTTCTGTTTCAGGTATTCTTAATATTCTGCAGCATTACCTCACTTTCAGATCGTGAAACTGTATAAAAATGTTAATTTTCTGCTAGCATTACGATGTTACTGTTAAAGATTCCTTTTAGCTGCGGTTACCTGAATCAGTGGTTTTTGGTGTCACATGGAACATAAAGCAGATGGTGATGACGCTGGAGGTGATCTTCCCGGCGAGGATGTGGTCAGAAGTGATGGCCGGCACTGAGATGAGTCTGGGCTTGGAGCAGTGCTGAGAGGGCTTGGGGAGAGGATTGTAGTGGAGCTCCATCCCCATTCCACTCCTAGCAGCTCTCTGGCCATCCACCTCCATTTGTGCCAGCTGGAATGGACAAGAGCCTTGCCAACTGCCTCGGGGCCTCCGTTGAGCTGGTTTAGGGAGAGGCAGGTGTGGCTGAGCTTGGAAAAAAACAGGAGCAGAGCTGAGATGACTATGATGCCAGTGCGGCTCCTGTACTGCTTCCTGCTCTACCACCCTCTTCGACCTCCATCCCCTTCACTGCTTCCTCCCGTTCCTGCTTGCTCATCCTCTGTAAATCAGGACATGTTTTGGAGGGCCGGAACGGAGGAAGCTGTAGGAGGGGATATGAAGCACTTTATGGGGAAATGCGGGGGATTTTTTTTTTTTTTTAAACAATGGCTAAGTTAAAACAAATGTGTGCATTTGAATGTTGAAATCCAATACTTAATACAGTGAACCTTCTAGCAAGAACAGGAATATTCCAGCAGAGGCGGGATTGTATGATAACGGGCATGAATTTGTACTGTATCTTTCTGGAAAACTTCAACAGAGGAGTGAAACTAGTCTGTAATGAACACTATGTGAGCTGAAATGTAAATTTTAGTAAAATTGCTTGTAATACCAACTCCAGATGCTTGTTTTTAACGTGGTAGTTCCTTAAAAAAAAATTTCTTTCCATTAGCACCTGTACTAGAGTTTGACTATCTCATCTGTGGAGACTGTGGCAAAGAATTCATGGATTCCTACCTTATGCAGCACTTTGATTGGGCAACATGTGATAATTGCAGGTATTACAAATAATCAGGAGAGGGAAGCTTTATTTTATGTAAAGATTGCTGGCTATTATTTAGTTAATTACAGCCGTTCTGTTAAATTAAAAAGGCTTGTCAGCAAAGAGACACTTTTCAGTAAAGTGAAACTTACTGAACAAGTAAACGGAAGTTGACTGATAACCTGTGTTTTCTGTTACGGAAGTGAAGAACAGCCGCATTGTCTCGTCAGCCTGTCTTAGGGTAGGGGACATCAGGAGATTTTTTACGTACCATTAGGAAACCTGATGTCTTGAGAAGAGTTGGTCAGCTTGGAGATAAGTGTCTGGTTGCAGACTAGAGCTATTCAAAAAACTGATAATACACAGAACATCGGCTTTCTGAAGTAGAGGGGGGATTAGGAGAGTGTTTGCTGTTGTAGTGAATTAACCCGAGTAAAGTTGGTACTTTGGTCAGCATGAGTGGGCTGGGCGCGTGGCAGCCAAAGGGCAGAACCCCCACGGGAGGATACTGGTGGACCTGCAGGGTAAGCAGGAGTTTGACCTTGAGCAGGAGGCAGTGGGTAGGCTGTCTTATCTTCTAACACAGAAAAGGCTCCAAAAGCCATCAAGATAACCAGGGCAATGAAACCATCTGAGCCAGCCAACCAGCAATGACTAAGAATGAATGGGTGAATGGGGGGGGGGAGGGGGGAGATGGCAGCTAGGAGTTTGTTCGGAGAGCTTCCCTGCATGCTGCAGGGAGTGGTCGGGGTGTGCACATGGTGTAGGCGGTTCACAGTCATCAGAGGTAAAGTGCTGTCTGGTGAAGGTAAGATGGGTGGAAAAAGGATGTGAAGGAGAGGTCTCCGAGCCTTAGGACTGGTTTTCCTTCAGGCTAAAAAGCTCTTTCAGCTGAACATGAGAAATTCCTTGGTGCATTAGCTTTTACTGTGAACTTTGAATTCTAGTAAAGCTGCATTTACAGCAGTACTTCCTTGATGACCGTTGCTGGCACTTAACCGTTTGGCAGATTGTTCCGGCTCCAGCAATTCAAGTTACACTTCGGTCAGGATTGCGCAAATGTAGTTTTGTTCATTAACTCATAAATGCTGCTGCGGTTACGCAGTTTTTCATTATCTGTCTGGTAAAAGCTACAATCTTCTAAGCTCTTTATTTTATGGTTCCTCTGCCTGCTGTCTTGCATTTAGAAACAAGTGCTTTGTTGTGTTGCTAATCTGTTTCACTAATCTGTTTCTGGGATCTAGAAGCATATGGAGTGTGTGCATTCTCAGGTGATCTGACCTGTCTCACATTACACATTCTTTCTCTCTTGACCATGTGTCAGGCTTGTACTTTTGTCCTCTTGAATTGCATTTGGGTTAGGTGAATACTTAAAATTATTCATAGTCCTTTTAAGTTTCAGTTACTCCCCTTTGTAAGAAAATAGAATAAAAGCCCTTCTAGAAAAACAGGCTTTTCAGCCTACGTTTGCTCAAATGGGAGAATTTTTAAACTTAATTTCAGTAAACCTATCCTGCAGTTTAGCTAGATTGTTGGAATCCAAAGTTATTTGCATACATAAAAACTGAGAGGGTGAGAGCTGCCTGTATTTCAGGCATGTTAGAAGTGATGGGATCTTAAATGTTAATAATGTGGTTTTCAGGTGTAGCTTTCTCATCGTTATTTTACATCTTCCAGAGATGCTGAAGATAAACATAAGCTTATAACAAGGACAGAAGCAAAAGAAGAGTATCTTCTTAAAGACTGTGACTTAGACAAGCGGGAGCCAGTGCTCAGATTCATTGTGAAGAAAAACCCTCATAATTCACGATGGGGTGACATGAAACTTTATTTAAAACTACAGGTATAGAATCTGCTAGCGCATTTCAGACCTCTTTTTACTTTTGTACAACTTTGGTAGCCAAAATGGTGTCACTTCGGTTCTGATTTCTGAATTATTTTGTCAAAGCTGAGTATATTGTGCGTAGCTTGTGTTATTTTCTGTATAGTTTAAATACAGAGCCTTGGTCTAAATGCATTTAAAATGTCTGTGTTGGAGAGGATTTTAAAGATGTTCAGGGACCACAGCCTCAGTGGTTTGCACTGTTACAGGTCATGAAGTGCGTGGCCTTTCAGTGCTAATCTGAAACGCGTGAGGCAGCCGCTGCTGCGTGTGGCCCTTTGTAGCTGCAGCCTTCGTGTTAGCTGCTCAGCCCTCAGAGGCAGCAGGAAAGGCCAGTAGATTCTCCAGGGCTCTTACCATTTCTTGTTTGATACTTTTATAGGAATGCGGCTGCTTTAGGGGAACATGCCCAAAATTAGAGCTGGGTTTGACTTTCCTGAGTAAGTTAAATCTAGCCAATACTAAAAACCAATGTTGCATCTTAGCATGCAAGGAATGCCATGTTTGCAAGTCAAGAGCAGAGAGACAGATGGGAGGCAGAGGCAAGATTGGGTTGGCTTGTGTATGTGTAGGGTTTTTTTTAAAAATCTGTGAGTTAGAATAGTTTACTTCTTTCATTTCAGGGCAAAAAGAAACACATTTATGTCCATTCTGTAGGTAATCAAGCGTTCTCTTGAAGTCTGGGGTAGTGAAGAATCATTGCAGGAAGCAAAAGAACTCCGCCGTGACAGCAGAGAGAAGATGAAACAGAAGAAGTTTGATAAGAAAGTTAAAGGTAAAAGGTTAAACTTATGTATGCAGTACCTGAATTAAAGTACAGTTCTGTTTGAATTTGTTTCTGCATCTGACTAAAGTATTTAGAAAATCTTCAGTGTGGCAAAATGGAGGTTTTCCAGAGCTGTGTGGGTAAGCCCAGAGCAGCTTGGTCTGACCTCATAGCTGACGATTTTGGGCAGAGGGTTAGACTGTAAGTCTGAGGACCCTTCCAACCTGAATTACCCTGTTGTCCTATAGACATGATGTAAGTGACGGAAGTCAGTTGCAGTGGTTCATTACGGTGTATTTAAAAATTTTTGGTATGACTCAGAATGTGCCATAGATTGTTCCTGTTACTTTTCCTGACTTGTGGAGAACATGAATTTTTGTGGCAGTGGGTTATATTTCTGTCACGCATACACTTTCAGGTGCAGTAACTGTAAATGAAGGTAGAAAATGCCTTTTCCCACTTTTCACAGTATTCCCAGCTGCTATTTTTGCTGCATATTATCCTTGTTTTTTGCTGATAAATTAGTAGTTAACAGTATTCGATGGGTAGAACTTCTGAAAAATACTTTCAGCGGGGACACGCTAGTATTTTAAAAAGGATGGCATGTTAGTTTCTTAGCAAGAGCTGTGGCTTGCCACAATGTCTGTGCTGCCCGTAGCACCCATGCTTCACTTTGGGTCATCATCCATAGAGGCGGAAGGCCCAAGCTGGGTGAACTGGTATTGTCTGGAGGAGGCAGAACGTGAGACTGAGCAAATAGACCCTGTCCTCGCCATTGATGTTCAGCGCACAGAAGGACTGGCAGCAGACTGTAGCCAAGGTGCCAGGGTTCTGTGCAAGTACAGGTCTTGACGTGACAGAGTTTTTGGCTTGAATGGCTTGGCTCAAAACATGAACGCGTTTTGCTGCTCGGTATGCTTGCCACCCCTCTTGCAACATCCGGATGGTATCTTGGGCTCAGCTGCCAGCCTGTGCTCTCTCGCAAACCCGCTGACTTCACTGCGGCTGCTGCAGAGGCAACTCGCATTATTGGGCATAAAGCTTAGAGAATGCCAAGTCATTGGGGAGGCTTACTGTGAGCTGAATGAGAAGTACTCTTTCTTGGTCGTGTAAAACAATGAAGTGTTTTATAAAAACTTTTCCCCTGCATTCCACTTACCCCCTTTTGGATACCCTTGAATGGCTTCATGTAAAAAGGCGGTGGGCAACACGTACTTAGTCCAGATGGAAAATCTTCTCCTGTGAGATCCTGCGTTGGTGTAGTTCTTATTCTTTAAAATATGCAAACAAGGTGAAGATTGCAAGGCAAGTCAAAGCTTGTTCTTGCAGTAGCAGATTCTCACACAAAACTTGCGGAAGACAGGCAACAAGCAGATCGTCATCTGTAGTCGTCAGAAAGGGGGTTAGCTTGAGTTTTATTAACCATTAGTTGAGATTTATTAAAATCTTGAAATTTTCTTGTATTTCTCATCAGAACTCCGCCGTGCTGTGAGGAGTAGCTTGTGGAAGAAACAAGCTAGTATCCATGAACATGAGTATGGACCAGAAGAAAACATTGATGAAGACACATATAAGAAGACTTGTACTGTATGTGGCCATGAATTAACTTATGAGAAGATGTAGCATTGATCTGTGGTTTTCTTGTGTCCGTCCCCCCGTGTCCCCCCCCATCTTTTTAATGGTATTTTGTATTTAAGTCAAATAAATGCAAATTACAAACAAGCTGTGGCCAGATTCTGTGAATAATGATGTTCCTTAGTTGTTAAGAAGCTCTGCACAGAACAATAAGCTTTGGCTATTAAGCTAGATCTTGGGGTAGAATGTAACACATTTTTAAGTTTGATAAATTGGTACCTTGTAGGGCAGAACATAAGTTGGTATAATTCAACTTCATATCCTGGTGAATGTAAGGTGAACTTCCCACTACTTGTCTGCTTCTCTTACTCCTTTAGAGGAGGAAGGCACCATATTTTGACCTAACTAGTTTCTGGTTACTGGTGCTGTGGGTGGGTAGAGGGCAATTAGCTGATAAAGCGCCTCCTCTGGAGGTTGGAGGCTTGTCACGAGGCAGGATTTGGGAGGAGACTTGACTCCATTAAAGGAGAATTCTCTCAAAAGGCAAGCTGCGTGCTCTTGAGGAAATTCTGACACATCTCTGCCATGTTTCATAGGGGAGAATCCTTAAGTGTATCCTCCTGCTTTTTTCGTTTCCCCAAGTTTTGGAGCAGAGGCCAAGGTGGCACTTTGAATACAACTTCACCCTTTTCATTTACAAATTTCCGACAAAATGCCTGTCCCCGGGGGGTGGGGGAGAGTAGCATTCCAAGGTAGATCTCTCAAAGGGAGCACAAAAGATGAGTGCTTTCAGTAGAGGGTGGGTTTACTTCACACTCTGCTGTTCTCACAGCTGCTGTGGAATGCAATAAGCTCTAGCCAGCAGTTTGCATTTGTTTGCCATTGTAAATAGGGCTGATCTCTGTGAAGACTCAGGAGACTTAAGGGAGCCTGGGCCACTGTGGGTGTGCAGAACTGAAGTGCTACAGGAGGAGAGAAGGTGTCTGGGAGGGCAGATAATGGTCCCACTAGTAGGCCTTCACTTCTCCAACTCTGTCCCATGACGTGCCTTCCCACCAAAGGCAGAGGACTCGGGGCCCTGCAAGGGCTGGGAAAGTGGCACATAGGGTTGGCTGGGGTCAGGGGGTAGATCCTGGCAGAGTTTTTGGAGGTAAGTCCCCCAGGTCATGGTTCCATGACCCAGTGGTGTCCTGAGTCCCAAAAGTGGCTGCCAAATCTCCTACCTGTGGACAAGTGGCAGCAGCCCACCCCTGCCTCACCTCCTGCAGCAGCACCGCCCAGAAGATGAGAGGTGGCAAGGCAGAGGGAGAATTTCCACACTACCAAAGCTCCTGGCACCCAGCAGCACGCATGCTTGCCTCCCTTGGCTGCGCAGGTGGGGCAAGCGTGTTAGATCAGGCCACAGCGCAAGGCGGAGAAGGCTTGTGGGTTAGTCAGGGTACCAGCCACAGCACCGGGGAAACGAAACTGCTCCAACCCCGACTGCATCTAACACTGCTTTGCTTCAGCGACACCCCCTCCTCCCCCAAACAGGTAGGACAAACACTCCCAGGAGCAACCTGCTTCACCTTCATTTATTTTTGTCTTTAATTGTGCACTTTTTCCAACCCACACCACATTTCTACAGCGTCTTTATACTATCCGCCACCGCCTGCTTCAGCAGTTCCAAGTTTCTCCAGTTAGCTGCTGGTATCGCTAGGGAAGCGTCTTGTTCTCTTTCCTACAGATCCAACCTGTTTCCCAGTCAAGTCAGGTGTACACCGCTGGACCTAGAAAGAGGGGAAGGTGTCCAACAGACTCAAGAAATGTACTCAAAGTCCACGCTCACCATGGAAGTCAAATCAGTTTGGAAAAACATTGCTATTTGGTTTATAAATCATAGGATTATGCTCAGGCATTTGCAACTGGATCCCCAGCACCCGCGTTTGTGAAGGCTCAGAGGAAGTTACAGGTTTGCAAGTTTTAACTGCATTATCAGTTTTACAGAAGTCACATTTATAGTCAGATCCCCACCATTAGTTAATATCAGAACTCTGATATTGATCCGAGCCAGTGAAAAAACTATCAAACCCCAATTAAAACCTCTACAGTATTAAATGTTTCTTAAAAAAAACCCAAAAAACAACTATTTGATTACTCAAGAACATTAACACAGAAAGATGTGAAGCAGAAATCTGCGCATAACTGACAAAACCCTCGCGTAAAGCAAATTTACAACAATTGACAGTATACCCTGAAAGAATGGAGGGATCAGTCAAATCAGAAAGGGTAGGCGGAGAAAGCAGGAGTAACAGATCTAAGTCTATGAGGACATTCCGGGTTGCTACAGGCCACACACAAACTTATGTCAACACTCAAAGTAAAGTTCCATTTTTTACCCTCCTTGCTCAGTCAGGAGGTCAACTGGTCAAGGTATGGATGAAATGCATTACTAGGTATAATACTTGAAAAAATAATTTGTACAGGAACAAAATTACTCAAAGCTCATCGCGTTCTAAGCTTAAACTGAATAGCACTGGGTATGAAATTCTTTAAACATTCATCTGCAAAGTGAAGAGACCATAAACAGCTTGGAAACACACTGCACACTGACGGACCTGAGCATCTATGACAGTGTCTTTGCCGTTCATCACTGCTCACCGTAATACAGACCACTCTGGTTTGGCCTTCACGTACATCGTGTTATTTGCATAACTCAAAACTAAGGCTACTCTATTTTCAGGTTGTGTTTCCCCAGTCGCCTGTGAGATATCACTTAATTTAGCACCAAGATGCTTTCTGAAGACATGGGAGCCACATGCTGTCGTACACATTTTAAAGCAAAGGCAGGGTACCAGATGCAGCCACTGCAAAGCAGCTGTTACTAAGCCAGATGAGGTGAGGGCACTCGGTTCATCCACTGTCATTACCAGAAAGATTCCTGGCGTGACAGCAGGCCCGCAGGTCCGACCCAGCACAAGCCTGGCAGCCCAACCAGTTACAGGCTGATGTAAAGAAGCTGAACGCTGCCCTCCCCTTTCCCCTGGCACCTGGGGCTGGAGTTGCCAACACCCAGGTAGGGCTTGCAGTACGGAAGTCAAAAGTTTGTTCCACCAGCTCTTGTTTATTGTCTCTGTTTAGCAGTGAAGACTGCTGCCAGGAGCCGTTTATGATTCTTCAACCATACCACAAAAAGGACTGCCTTTTTCAGTTGTCCGTGAAGTTCCTCTACCGATTGTTTATAGCTACTGTAATAAGACACTAGACAATACATTTAAAAAAAAAACATATTTCGACTGTATTACAACCATGTTCTTTCAAACTGTGAAAATCTAGCTGGCTTGGTAATAAACAAATCCATATGCTCTATACTACTTTGAAAGCTTAAATCAAGTGTTTCACACGCCCAAAGTTAAGACACTTTTCCTGTGCCATACTAGAGAGCTTACCACACTGCTCACTGAGAAGGTGCATCCCCTTTTGTACTCACAAAACACTATGAACTGTTTCTCATTTCTGCAATTCCTTTGATCTAAGGGCCAGGCAGAGGTAAGAAATTTTATTGTTTGGCTTTTTTTTTTTTTTCTTCTCCTGATTTTTTTTTTTATATAAACAACAGGGGAGAAACAAAAATACTATCATGATTTCAAGAGTAAAACCAAATTAAAAGACAATGAAAAGAATTCATACTTCACTTCATGTCTATCCCCTATGAGTCGTATCTTGTAAGGCTTATGATGCTTACACAGTTTGCTGTTGGTTAGAGTACTGTATCGTTTTATATATAAGCACATGAAAGCCAGTTTTAGTCAAAAAAATTCTTCCATCCCCATGTCAAGTTTTCCCGTTAAAAAAGAAAAAACTTAAATTTATTAGTCCTGCAGACAAGACTCTGCTGGTGAATAATCCTCAGGCCTGCAGAGCACAGAACTGCTGAAACACAGCCAGTATGTGGTGGTCCAGTTCAGCTGTAAACAGGAGGTTCTCCAGGGTCACCATGTACTGCTGGATTATCTGGTGGTGCTGGCAGATAAAAAACAAAACACAAACCTTTATTGTTTTCATTTATATTTATATAAGAACAGGCAGAGAAGTCAAGATACATTACTAATCACAGGTCAAATGTTTTCAACATAATTGTTAAGCACATCTCATTTCCACAACACAGTAGCCACTGACAAGAAAAGCATCATGCAGAGCATCTACCCACTGGCAAGAAGAAAGCATGTGCTGAAACCCTGTCTTGAGAAGCACTGCTCCCTGTAGCTCTTCACTCCCGAATTGTGTGCAGGATACCACATGCAACTGCAGAGATATCCTAGGAGAATCATGATATTTGCGCTCCTCTGAAGCCACATCTGCTACCAGGGAAAGGTGGAATCACAGCACCATTCCCATTCTTCAACATACCTTCTGCTCACACAGGTATAATTTTTCTATTACTATCACTTTCATCCAGCCACCTGTGCTTGTTACCTGATTTAATACAGAGCCAAGAATCGAAAATTATTTTAAACAGATATCTATGCATCTTATTAAAAGAAATTCTGCAATATTTTAATCCACTTATTTAAAAGATGTCTGTATAAGTATTCCTGTTCGCTCAGAACGTTGACCTTACTATACACACAGAGTTAGGAGGAGCTCAGCGAAATTCATAATCACATCTCGGTATCTTTTTGCAGTGTGCTCTCAGTGTGGGAATTAATCAAGGACCAGTCACTCCACCAGTCTGCGGCAGAGATGTGGCCACCACGAGTTTATGACCTAGCCCCATACGAGCCTTCAGAGAAGATGTGCTGCTGCCACCTACTGCTACTTCCGCAGAGCGCTCCGTTCTCCAGCCACAAAACCCGTCTATGCAGCGTGCCCCTGCCCACCGCCTTCCAAACTGAGAAATAACACTTACCTGCAGGAAGATCTGCTGCAGCCTCTCTATACAGCTCTTGTACCACGGTGTAAATACATCAATTCCACCAGTTTCACAGCGCACTAAGTGCTCAGTTAACAACATAATGAAACGCTGCAGGAAAGGGGAAAAAAAAGACTTTTTCAGTGTCGCCAAATGAAAGCAGGATCCTAAC